CCCTGAAAAAAGTTTTAGAATAAGAGAATAAAACCCCAGAAAAACTCATGCAAGACGCTCACTCGCACACTCGGGCGCATGTAAACAAACTGCAACGCCGTCCTAGTGGCCACACTGGGAAACCGGCAGAAGAATATGGCCACCAGAACAGAGGGCAGAGACCGACGCAAAAGATACGAAAACACCCCAGCAAAAGTGGGAAGCAAGCAGACTGGATGGACGAAAAACTTCGCCCAGAAGCAGAAAACCCAGGAAGGAAAAAACCGCCCCAGAACTGCTAGCAGGCATCCCCCACAGCCCCGGGAACCCGCAACAGAGGCCCCGGGGAAGAGCCATCATCCAAGTCCTCCGCCCTTAAAGAAAAGGAAGAGTCCTGGTTGATACCTGGTTGATGGGGTTAATTACCTAATTATTTCAATGTCTCTGATCGATTTTTCGTAGTTTTTTTTTGTTGTAATATTATTCAATAGTGTGTAGTGTGATATATTAATATAATAAAATGAGTGAATCATCACTGTACTCAAAAATATGGTGTGCATATTGTTGATTCAATTATGTTCATCAAACAGTGAACAAATACTTTGTCGGTTATTACACTATATACACAGGTTATATATAAGTATCTGCATGTTTTGTTCACCATAACGAACCACTAAGTTGCTATTATGAGTCAAAAAGTAACGAGGAGTGACCACTGTGTACCAGCCAGCCACTCACTCCCTCCCTCCCTCAACACCTCACTCACCCACATTCTCCTCCTACCATACTGTTTTTGCTTTTATTCACTATATACAGACATTATATTTAAGTATCTACATGCGTGTTTACCATAACGAACCACTAAGTTGGCATGCTGAGTGGCAGTGGCAGCCCACCACTGGCTGCCACTCCCTCAAGTCACCTGACTCACCCCACATTCTCCTCCCACAATACTGTTTTTGCTTTTATTCACTAAATACAGACATTATATATAAGTATCTACATTTGTGATCACCATAAGGAACCACTAAGTTGGTATGCTGAGTGGCAGTGGCAGCCCGCCACTAGCTGCCACTCCCTCCCTCCCTCACCTCACCTGACTCCCACCATTCTACGCCGACCATACTGTTTTTGCTTTTATATACAGACGTTATATATAAGTATTTACATGTTTTGTTCACCATAACTGTACATCTAAGCTTGTATGGTGAGTAAAGGCACAAAGACGTAGGATCTCACACAGTCAGCTGATGGCTGCCGCCCTCAAGGCCAGACGCACTAATATTTCTCCTCCAACAATACTGTGTGGTGTTATTACGCTATATACACTCATTATATATAAATATCTACCTGTTTTATTCACCATACTTGTACAAGTAAACTGGTATGGTGCCCAAAGACCATCGTGGTAACCAGTAAACAACATGATAAATCGTGCAGACGACACCACCACCCTCACCAAAATGGCGGCTCCCAACCTACTCCTCTTGCTGTTTATACCCTCTATACACACGTTATATGTAAGTTTCTACATTTGTGTTCACCATAGCGAACCACTAAGCTGGTATGCTGAGTGCAGTCAATGAAAGGTGGCCACACACAGTCAGAAGACAACACTACCACCCTCCCTCCCACAGCATTACTCCTCCCTCCATGGAGCACAGCGCTAAATATCACCAAAATCCTCCTATTATCAGAACCCTGGTCAGTTTTATCACAGTCAGGGGTCTTCTGTAATAATATCATCGCTGCATAATAGCACGAACAAGTATATTATGGCATTTTTAGGCGATGCTGTGGTCACAAGCTGAACAGCAGTGCTGTGAGCTCATGCTGCATGCGTCAGGCTTGGTAGCTCACTCAATACTGAGGGCCCCTAACACCCGGGAATTTGGCCCACCATTTTTTTTTAAATGGCATCTGTTTACAAGAGCCCTGATGAAGGTGTGGTGAACCCCGTGTATCCGTGGGCCTTTTAAATCATGCATAGTACTCCAAAGCATCATATGATACGATGCGCAATTTACTGCAAGTCGGTCAAAGCATCATATGATGCGATGCGCAATTTAAGGGTTAACCCCGGTCGATGGCAGATAAGGAAAACCCCGACCACAAGGGGGGTTTTCTAGGGCCATTGCTCCCTGAAACCTCTCTGAAGGGGCCCAGGTTCTGGCGCTGGTCCTTGGTAGGTCTGAACCCCTTAGCTAATGTCCCAGTCTAATATAACATACATTAGCCTGATAAGCTCCAGGGAGCTATAGGGACTCCCCACAGAAAAGAAGTGTCAATAGACAGATTCTTAGTAAGACAAGCAAGCAGTAAGTCATAACCAGGTTCTAGTGGTATGCCTGCAAAACGTAGGAGAGAGAGAGTACCCCAAAGAAGTCATCACTGGCTGATGTTATAATGGAAGGGGACTCCCCTTCCAAACACCAGTACCTTCCTCCCTTGGGAAAGAGTGATCACATCCTCTTGGATATTAAATACACTATGCAATATAATCTAGTAGAGAATGGGGACAGTGAAACAGTTGTTAAACTCGATTTCAAGAGAGGATGCTATGGGGAACTTGGAAATTTTTTCTTGGGTATAATTGGAAAAACTTGTTTCTAGGCAAGGAAGTAAATGAGATGTATGCTAAATTTTGCAAAATATATACGACGAAGGCACACAACCATTCATATCAAAACAGACATGCAGACCTAGGAAACAGGGTTGGTTCAACAGAAATTGTGAGAGGGGCCAGAGATCAAAAGACACAAGCATGGAATCATTATAGAAAGAGGCCAAACCCCCAAACATACCAGCAATACAAAGATGCAAAAAACAACTACAAGTAAGGAGAGAAGCAGAGAGGAACTATGAAAAGATATAGCAGACAAATGTAAATCAGATCCAGGCCTTTTCTATAAATTCCTTGAAAGCAAGCTGCAGGTCAAGGATAATATTCAGAGGTTGAAAATGGGGGTGTATTTTTCAGATACACTGAAAATTTTTCAGTGTATCTGAAAAAATTTCAGATACACTGAAAGTGAAAAGGAAATGTGTGAAGTATTAAACAAAAAGTTCCAAAGTGTGTTTGTACAAAATGAGATCTTCAGAGAACCAGACACAATAAGAATTCCAGAGAACAGCATAGAGGACATAGAGGTGTTTAGAGACGAAGTGAAACAAATGCTCCTGGAGTTAAGTAAGAACAAAGCAGTTGGCCCAGATGAAGTTTCATTATGGGTTCTGAGAGAATGCGCACCAGAGCTCATCATTCCACTTCAGCTGATTTTTCAGACTTCCCTGTGTACAGGAGTCATAGCAGATGTGTTGAAAAAGGCTAACATAGTTCCAATCTACAAACGTGGCAGCAGGAAAGACTCTATCAATTATAGACCTGTATCATTGACAAGTGTAATAGTCAAAATATTGGAAAAAATAATTAAAACTAAATAATAGAACACCTGGAGAGAAATTATATAATATCAAACAGACAGTATAGTTTTCGATCTGGAAGATCCTGTGTATCGAATTTACTCAGTTTCTATGATTGAGCCATAGAGATTTTACAGGAAAGAGAAGGATGGGTTGACTGCATCTATCTGGACCTATAAGAGGCTTTTGACAGAGTTCCACATAAGAGGTTGTTCTGGAAACTGGAAAATATTGGAGGGGTGACAGGTAAACTTCTAACATAGATGAAAAATTTTCTGATAGAAAAATGAGGGCAGTAATCAGAGGCAATGTATTGGACTAGAGAAACGTCGCAAATGGAGTACCACAGGGTTCAGTTCTTGCACTGGTGATGCATTGTCTACATAAATGATCTACCAGATGGAATACAGAATTATATGAACATGTTTGCTGATGATGCTAAGATAATAGGAAGGATAAGAAACTTAGATGATTGCCATGCCCTTCAAGAAGACCTGGACAAAATAAATATATGGAGCACCACTTGGCAAATTGAATTTAATGTGAATAAATGTCATGTTATGGAATGTGGAATAGGAGAACATAGAACCCACACAACCTGTAAATTATGTGAGAAATCTTTACAGAATTCTGATAAAGAAAGAGATCTAGGGGTGGTCCTAGATAGAAAACTATCACCTGAGGACCACATAAAGAACGTTGTGCGAGGAGCCTATGCTACGCTTTCTAACTTCAGAATTGCTTTTAAATACATGGATGGCGAAATACTAAAGAAATTGTTCACGACTTTTCTTAAGAAGTACATCAACGAACTGGAAAAAGGTGCAAAGACATGCTACTAAGTGGCTCCCAGAACTGAAGGGCAAGAGCTACGAGGAGAGGTTAAAGGCATTAAATATGCCAAAACTAAAAGACATGAAAAAGAGGTGATATGATCACTACGTACAAAATAGTAACAGGAATTGACAAAATTGATAGGGAAGATTTCCTGAGACCTGGAACTTCAAGAACAAGAGGTCATAGATTTAAACTAACTAAACAAAGATGCTGAAGAAATATAAGAAAATTCACTTTCGCAAACAGAGTGGTAGACGGTTGGAACAAGTTAAGTGAGGAGGTGGTGGAGGCCAAGACCGTCAGTAGTTTCAAAGCGTTATATGACAAAGAGTGCTGGGAAGACGGGACACCTCGAGCGTAGCTCTCATCCTGTAACTACAGTTAGGTAATTACACTTAGGTAATTACTAACACCTCTCCTCCTCGTCTCCCTCCTCACCGTCTTCCATACACCAACAAGAGTCGTCAATAAAGTTAAGATATAAAGTACATATACTGTAGTACAAAATATGAGTAGTATTAAGTATAAAACATATTTTTAAGTTAATATTTCTGGGTGTGTGTGTGGCACCAATTAATTTACATTTTTTCTTATGGAAAAATTTGTTTAGGTTTTCAAATTTTCTGTTCTTGAACCATCTCTGGGAATGAATTAAATTTGTAAATGAAGGTACCACTGTAATATTAATAATCACACTCTGAGCTCTAGGCCTATAGCATTCATTCTTATGTTTAAGTTTTGCAAGAATATGAAATACTTGCCTCTCCAGTAGGTAATGGATCTGCTGGGTAATGTTGGCAACACATTCATCTTTCTGCTCTCCCTGCCCCTCCATTTCTTCAGCAACTGGCCTGTGTATTTTCTCTTCTTTTTCCTGAAAGGGAGATGGGACACGCTTCATTAGTGTTGGTGATACAAGAGATTGTATTATCAGTATTTAAATTACAATATTTACAGTACATTTTGATATTATGTCTTACCAAATAACTTAAATGTTTATTTTAAACAAGCTAGTCCATCTATATCTATAAGAGAGAATGTGGGTTTGTCTCTGTCCAATGTTGGAGGCCAGATGCTTACCCAACTTCCACATATGAAGTTGGAGGAGAAATATTAGTGCGTCTGGCCTTGAGGGCGGCCGCCGATCAGCTGACTTGTGTGAGTAGCTACATCTTTGCGCCTTTACTCACCATACACGCTTAGATGTACAGTTATGGTGAACAAAACATGTAGATACTTATATATAATGTATATAGTGAATTATAGCAAAAACATTATTGTGGGAGGAGAATGTGGGTAAGTCAGATGACTGGAGGGAGGGCGGGAGTGGCTGGTCACTGGGAGTGGTAAACGGCGGTCACTCCTCGTTACTTTTTGATTCATAATAGCTACTTAGTGGTTCGTTATAGTGAACAAAACATGCAGATACTTATATATAACCTGTGCTTATAATGTAATAACCGACAAAGTATTTGTTGACTGATTGATGAACATAATTGAATCAACAATATGCACACCATATTTTTGAGTACAGCAATGATTCACTCATTTTATTATATAAATATATCAAACTACACACTATTGAATAATATTACAGCAAAGAAGGTATGAAAAATTAATCAGAGACAAATGTAGATATAAGTATCTACATTTGTGTTCACCATAGCGAACCACTAAGCTGGTATGGTGAGTGCAGTCAATAAAAGGTGGCCACACACAGTCAAAAGACATCGCCACCACCCTCCCTCCCACAGCATTACACCTCCTTCCATGGCGCACAGTGCTAAATATCACCACAATCCTGCTATTATCAGAACCCTGGTCAGTTTTATCACAGTCAGGGGTCTTCTGTAATAATATCATCGCTACATAATAGCATGAACAAGTATAATTTGGCATTTTTAGGCGATGCTGTGGTCACAAGCTGAACAGCAGTGCTGTGAGCTCATGCTGCGTGCGTCAGGCTTGGTTGCTCACTCAATACTGAGGCCCCTAACACCCGGAAGTTTGGCCCACGATTTTTTTTAAAAATGGCGTCTGTTTACAAGAGCCCTGATGAAGGTGTGGTGAACCCCGTGTATCCGCGGGCTGTTTAAATCTTGCGTAGTACTCCAACACATCATATGACGTGATGCGCAGTTTACTGGAACAACGTTCAGCACATCATATGACGTGATGCGCACTTTAAGGGTTAAACCCTGAGCATGTTAAGGGTTAAACCCCGAGCATGTTAAGGGTTAAAGTACAGTGGAACCTCAGTTTTTGAATGCGTGTTTTCAAATTTTTCGGTTCTCGAGCTCAATTTTTTTTTCCATTTTGACTTGGTACTCGAAGTTTGCCTTGGTGCTCGAGTTTGTTGAGACACGTATGGGCCGACCGAGCACATGGCACGCTTCAGTTTACTAGTCTCTCTCGCCAAGTGGCAACAGCGCTTGAATTCTTTGAGAAGAATTTCATATTTTTTCTGCTTTTTTGGTTTCTGAACATAAAAGTTCTTATTATATATCATGCCATGGGTTCCAAGAAGGTCAGTGGTAAAGTTCAACCTAAGAAAATAGTTGTGAGGATGACAATACAAGAAAAACAAGAGATCATTCATAATGAGACAATGTGATGTCTAACTACAGACAAGTGTTAAAAAGTAGGAAAAAACAAGCATCTATAGACAGATTCTTAGTAAGACAAGCAAGCAGTGAGCCACAACCAGGTCCTAGTGGTATGCATGTAAAAGGCAAAAAGAGAGAGTACCCCAGAAATGTCTTCACTGCTGTTATAACAGAAGGGGACTCCCCTTCCAAACACTAACACCTCTCTTTCACCCCCCTTCCTCACTGTCTTCCATACGCCAACACGAGTCCTCAATAAAGGTAAGATATACTTGTACATACTCTGATGGGTTTTAACCACTGCACTGCGCAACGCACCTTGAGGCTCTCGACGGTTGGTGCGCAACACACCTCAGGGATCTTTTAGGTATACCAAACCATTCAAAACTTCCACGGCTACATGGGGTTCATATCGGCTTCCTCGGGGCTCTCCTAAACAGATGCCATTTAACCCTTAACGTGCTCGGGGTCTAATATCCTGCTATCCACACAGGCGCATGTCATTTTGAAAAAAAAAAAATTTTTTTTTTTTTGCTAATCTGTTAAGTTCTGTTCACTGATCACGGGAAAAATAAAAAAAAATTCTATTGTACTTACTTTTGTTGCAATAGAGCCGAGAAGCTCGGTGATGACGACACAATCTGCATGTTCGCTCATGCAGTACACGCCCGGGAGGTGTTGCGCGCGGTCCTCAAACAGCCAGAGTTGCCACAAATATATTTTCGCGCTATTTATTTACAATGTCTAAGCGCATTTTATCTAATTTTTTTTCACTAATTGTGTTTCAAATACTGTTTGAACATATTTTGTATCAATAATTGTTGCATATTTGAGTATACACAGGCGCACACAAATGTTTTCAATTACGGCAATATAATATGTCATTACAGTCTATTATATTGTATGTTCTGCTTATATTTGTATATATTTACACACACGCACAAGCTATCTGCTTATATGTTTACATATTTACACACTTGCACACACTATACACACTTTGAAGCACACTTAGAAGATTTCTAGACTGTGGTAGTCATTGAAGCAGTCGACAGCACATAATGGGATACCACACGTTTCACACCATGTTTGCACAAGCTTCCGTTTCTTGTCTCTACGTGTCGTTGTTTTACACACCAGCAATCACGTTGGGCTATTGCACGCTTCACACCAGGTGGCAAATACTTAAGTTTGTGTGCTAGGAAGCCTTCAGTGTGAGCGAGGCGTGGAGTACCAGCATGCTGCAACAGTGGGTTTATGATGGGCCGCTGAATACCTGGGACATCTTTTGCAAACTTTCCTAATAACTGTATTGCAGCATCAAATACAAAGTCACGGAAAGTGGGCTTACGTCCAGTTCTCACAAGGTACATGTTGAAACAGTTCAGCATGCTCATGTCCACAAGATGGAAGAACACTTTTTTCGTCCACCTACATGTCTTCCGCACACACTCTGCAGTGCCAATCATCATGTCTGATTTATCAATCAACCGCATGTTGATATTATAGTCTAAAACACAGTCTGGCTTATATAGTGGTGCGTTTGTTTTATGGCTCACTTTCCCACTGTTCACCATTGTTCCATCATGAATTGTTGTCAACAAGTTCACCTCTCTTTTGTCTTTCCACCGAACTGACAGAATGTTATCACTTTTCCTTCTCTGACACTCACCAACTGCAATGTCGTTGTCAAACACAGGCATTTCCCTTCGTTGTGGCTTTACTGTACCAACCAATCCGGTTCTATTTTCTAGCAAGAACCGAGCTAGCAAGGGACTTGTATAGTAATTATCTGTGTATAAAATGTGTCCCTTGTTCATCCACGGAGCCATGATGGTCTTCACTACACTCCCCGAGAATCCATGTTCGTCGTTACCGGGAATGTCTACATCACTAGCCGAGTACAGAATCATGTGTAACACGTATCCTGTCTCACAATCACAAAGAACAAAAAATTTCAGGCCAAATCGGTTTCGTTTTGAGGGAATGTACTGTTTGAATGGAACACGTCCCTTGAAAAGTATGAGAGATTCATCAACCACCAGCTTCTGTGCTGGTACGTAAAAATCTCTGAATTTTCCAATAACATCGTTCATGTAGTGCCTCACTCGCCACAGTCTATCATCAGGTGTTCGGTCCTGAACACTTCCAAAATGTAGACACCTGAGGAGTATCTGAAACCTGTCTCGTGACATATATTTCCCGAATAAAGGTGTTGGTATTGTCTTGTCCTTGCTCCAATAGTCATTTATTGCATGTTTGTGACAGTGCTTCATCAACAAACAGAGTGCCAAAAACACATACATTTCCGCCACTGTGGTATTTTCCCAACGCTGCAGTCGTGAAAATTCTGTGATTTCCCTCTCAATCAGGTAAGCAGCATGCAGGTTCGTTTGGTGTACAATGTATTCCATGAGTGGTTCATCATAGAATGCTGTAAAATATTCCATCTCAGCCATGTCCTCACCTTGATTAGGGAAAAGGTTTGTAATCCCTACATCTTTATCGTCAAAGTGAGGAATATTAGGAATAAAATCGTCACCATCACTCCACTCAAGTACACCAGGCGTCCTGCGAGATGCAGAGGAAAGACGGCGAGGAAGCGATGCATACCGGCGACCAGGAGCTGAATACCGTCTGCGAGAAGCACGGCGGCTACGTGCACGTGAGGTGGGTGCACGTGAGGTGGGTGCACGTGAACACGAGGGTCTTGGTCCCTCATGTGGTGCCATGCGGTGGCGCTTGGCCGGGCGAGATGCTGCTGACGCGACAATTTCTCGCCCAGTTACACCACTGGTACCAGCCACAGGCTCAATAAAACTTTGATCTGAGTCACTAAACCCAGAAAAGGAGTCACCTCCCTCTGACTCGTCACCCTCAAACAGAAAATATCCACAGGAACTGTGAGGTCGTGGTAGAATTGGGGTAGAAAATGGGCGAGGAGGCATGGGAGAGCGTATAGGCCTCGCCATGGCATGGCGGTCATTCTCACTTTCACTGCTGCTGCTACTATCACCCGACAACTGTGTATAATCCTCATCGTTGTCTAAATCGTCAAACACACTTTCTTCACCTTCAGAGAATAATTCGTGGGTTATTTGCTCTGGGGTGAGGGACTGAGTGGTGCGTGCCCGTGAGGCGTTTGACCGTGCGCTCGCCATGGTGACTCTCGCTAAACTGAGGCCTCCCATGCCATCGGATCGTGAGCTGGATTTTTTTTCAAAATGGCCGCTGTTTACTAGAGCCCCTGGGCAGCGTATGGGACCCCCAGCTACACCGCGGGCCATTCAAATCGTGCGCGGTACCCATACACTTCATATGAAGTGAAGCGCAGTTGACTGGTAAAACGATTTACACTTCATATGAAGTGATGCGCACTTTAAGGGTTAAAAAAAAAATTGTGAGCAACATTCCCGGGTGTGAAGGCTTCAGTACTGAGTGAACCACCAAGGCTGGCACACGCAGCATGAGCTAACAGCATTGCTGTTCAGCTTTTGACCACAGCATCGCCTAAAATTGTCAAAATATATATGTATCTGGTATTATTTAGCCATGATAGTATTACAGAAGAGCCTGACTCTGATAAAGACTGTGTACAATGTTCAGATATCAGTGAATAAATGCTGTTCAATATGTTGACAGCGCTAGCCACAGCACACTGCCATTATTTCGTCCATCTAAAAATTTTCAAACGATTTCTCATGTTCCTTTACAAAATAAACTTATGGAAAATTATTAAATTATTCATTTACATGATTTAGTGACCAGGATTCTGATAATAGCAGGATTGTGGTGAGGATTAGCGATGTGAATTAGTGGTGGGAGGAGTACTGTTGGTGAAGGAGGAAGAGGTGGTGTCACATGCTGGTTGGTGTCTGGAATCACCATACCAGCTTTGTGGTTCACTATGGTGAACACAAATGTAGATACTTATATATAATGTGTGTATAGAGTATAATAACAGCAAAAGGTTTATGTTCGGAGGAGCCATTTAGGTGAGGGAGTGAATGAGGCTGTCGTCTGCTGTGTGACTTGTCATGCAGTGGCCACTATGCTGTATGGACATCATACCAGCTTACTTGTACAGTTATGGTGAATAAAATATGTAGATACAGTAGTTACATATAATGTATGTATATAGTGTAATAACACCACAAACAGTATTGTGGAGGAGCAATGTTGGCGAGTTAAGTCTTGAAGGAGTGAGGGTGGGCTGGCTGGGTGTGGCAGCCCACTCTTGTTTTTTGGGCTCACCATACCAACTTAGTGGTTCATTATGGTGAACATATATGTAGATAGGTGTATACAATGTGTGTGTATATAGTGTAATAACAGCAAAAACACTGTTTGATTGATCGTAGAATATAATAAACATGTCGCATATATGAGCCCCATAATTTTGAGCACAGCGATGTTCCACACATTGAACTATATAAATTCCACAAATTACACACTTTTGAATTATATTACAGCATAAAACCAGAGAAGAAACGAATGAGAAACATCAATTGATAAACAATATATTCGCGGCAACTGCTGCCTCACGGGGTGGCGGGGCCTAGTGACCTTGAGTGCTCCAACCTTGAGTGCTCCAACAGGAGGAAGCTGCAAAGGCCAACCGCACCGCAGGCGAAGAGATGCGGTTAGCCGAAAACCTCCTGAAGACGGAACCGAAGAAACCACAGGGACACGGAACCGAACCCGGGGAGGAGCAGAACCCAAGCCCAAATCGTACGCAGAGGGGGGAAAGAAAACCCCACTCCTCGTAACAGTAAGCCCCGCTCAGAAGGACGGAAATCCAGGCGGGGCGTAATGGAGCCCAAGGCCCCCAAGGCCGCTCCTCCACAACCCCAGGAGCCTCTGCACCAGGCCCTGGGGCCGAGTCGACCTCCAAAGCCCCGGCCTCACAAGAAAAAGCCGGGGCAGCCGAGAGAGCTGAAAGAGAAGGGGGCCCACTGGTCAAAACCCCGGAGCATCGGCCGGACGAACAGACTCGAATGCCTCCGCAGCTACCCCGGACGGGGCAACCCTCGAAACTGCCCAAGTCTCAGAACCTCTAACCCCACCCCGACCCCGAAGCCTGCAGATGCGTAGGGGCCGGAAGCAGGAGGGGAAAAACAAGGGGGGCGAGGAAGGAACCAAGGCCGAAGCGACCAAAACCACCCAAGTCTGGGTCCATACACAAGCGGGGCAGCATCGGGGCGTCCGGGGAAGCGACAAACCAGAGCGCGTTGCAACATCCTACCCTGCAACGCGCGAGCTGCCTGCACCCACGGGAATTCATCAGCAGACTGGGTGAATGGAGTCACGAACAAGCAACAAAGCTCACAGGACTCAAGGGTCGAATGTGTCACCGACCCAACAGGCAGCATGACGGAGGCAAAAACAAGGAGAGTCACCCTGAGACAAAGGGACAGAGCAACCCTCAACTCGCACAAAGCGAGAAGGGACGCAAGGGTCTCCACTATCGGACCCGAGAGCCCCCGGGGGGTTTCCCAGGGCCCCTAGACTGGGTCTGCTACGGGTTATCCCAGGCAGGGTACTGCTAACCAGCGTCCCAAACTACCAAGCAAACTGCTAAAGCTGAACCCACGGGACGTGTCCACTCGCGAGGGCAAAGCAGGGGGTGCCACCACACAAACGAACCTAATATAAGGGGGGGGAGAACACAAGGAAGACCCCCCTACCAGGCAAAAACAAAAAGAAAAGAAAAAACCACACAAGTGGACAACGTACCCAGAGGGAACAGAGCCGGCCGCTGTCATAGGTGAAAACTAGCTACGCAGTACCCTGCGCCCCACCAGTGCTATAACTACCACTTACCCCAAGGTAAACAAGGGAGTGAAACCCCCAAACCCTCGGGGTGGACAAATGTCAAGCAGCGAAAAGCCAAGAGGTAGACCCAAGGTGACTTGTGGAAGGCAACCCCAAGCCCCAAGGGCGGTACTTACAGGGCACTCAGGGAAGGTGACCCTAAGCACATGCAGCCCGAGTACCTGAGAATACTACTCCCAGCTCACACGACCACCGTAAGAGCAGCACTGCAAACAAGTCACAGCAATGAGACAAGACTGGAGCTGGACCCACACGACCGTGCATGATCCCATCAGCCGAGAAACTGGGGCGGGGATCGCCGGCGCGGGGGTCTGGGGCTCCCCCTTCCCCCTCCCGGGGAGGGGGGAGCTGCGCAGACATGCGGCGCGGCTCGCGTGACATCATGCTTGTTAGTTCGTTTTCCTGGGGGAGTTCTGTCCACTCATTTGTCGATTTTTGTTGTTTAACCAGAATAGGGGTTTGTTTTGTGGCGCTTACCTTTCTGGGTGCCTGTCCCGGTCGATGGCAGATATAGAATGCTCCAAATCACATGTGCATTTCTATGGGCCATTGCTCCCCGTGCATCTCTGAGGGGGCCAAGTTCTGGCTCGTGGTCCCCGGTAGGCCTAGAACTCCACCCACATCGACTGATGCAAAATAGTTAGGGTATCCATATCAGCCATGGATAGCTCCGGGGAGCCGTAGGGGCTCCCCCCAGAAAATATATGTTTAGTAGTAGTATGTATAAAATGTATTTTCAAATTAATATTTTTGGGGGTGTGGAACGGATTAATTAAATTTATGTTACTTCTTACGGGAAAATTAATTTCGGTTTTCGAACCATCTCTGGGAACGGATTAAATTAGAAAATGGAGGTATCATTGTATAATACTGTACATCTGTTAACCTCCAAGCTGCTAAGGGCTATTTGGCCTTTGACACTCACAGGTGCATAAAAAAAAAATCAAATTTTTTTTTTTGTTCTTATAAACCTGTTAATTTCTGTTCCCTGATCATGGGGAAAAATATTAAAAAAAAAATCTTAAGTGGCATATTTTGGCTAGAATAGAGCAGGGAAGTCTGGCAAAACAGAGGTGCAGACTCAGCAAGCATCGGGGAAGTTCTGCTCCGCTCCAGCTGTCAGACGGGAGTTGCCACAAAGGTATAATTACCTAATTATTAAAATGTCTCTGATTGATTTTTTCTTAAATCGAAAGTGTAAGTTTTTTGCAGTACAGTAATATTATTCAATAGTGTGTAGTGTGATATTTTTATATAATAAAATGTGTGAATCATCGCTGTACTCAAAATTATTGTGTGCATATTAGTGATTCAATTATTATGTTCATAAAACAATAAACAGATACCTTTGTAGCTATTACACTATATACATAGGTTATATATACACATCTGCATGTTTTGTTCACCATAACAAACCACTAAGTTGATATTGTGAATCAAAAAGGAAAGATAAGTGGCCAGCTAGCCACTTGCTACCACTCCCTCCCTCAAAAGCTCCTCACTCGCCAGCATCCTCCTTCCACCATACTGTTTTTGCTTTTATTCACTATATACAGACATTATATATAATTATCTACATGTTTTGTTCACCATAATGAACCACTAAATTGGTATGCTGAGTCAAACAGCAGCAAGGAGTGGCCACCACACACCAACCAGCCCGCCACTGGGCGCCACTCCCTCCCTCACCTCACCTGACTCCCTAACATTCTCCTTCCACCATACTGTTTTTGCTTTTATTCACTATATACAGACGTTATATATATAAGTATCTGCATGTTTTGTTCACCATAGTGAACCACTAAGTTGGTAGAGTTAGTGCAAAGAGCAACAGGTGGCACACAGTTTCGGCAGACGACACTACAGCCCTCCTACCCTCAACATTACTCCTCCCACAGCACAGTGCAAATTATCACAACAATCCTGCTATTATCAGAATCCTGGTCATTTATATCACAGTCAGGGATCTTCTGCAATACTATCATTGCTAAATAATACCAGTTACCTATATTTTTGGCATTTTTAGGCGATGCTGTGGTCACAAGCGGAACAGCAATGCTGTGAGCTCATGCTGCATGTGCCAGCCTTGGTGGCTCACTCAGTACTGAGGCTCTCACACCTGGTAATGTTACCCATGATTTTTTTTTTTAAATGGCGTCTGTTTACAAGAGCCCTGAGGAAGGTGATGTGAACCCAGTGTATCCGCAGGACATTTAAATCTTGCGTGGTTCTCCAAAACTGCATATGCAGTGTTGCCCACTTTTGCGTCAGTTACTCAAAACTTCATATGCAGTTTTGCGCAGTTTAAGGGCTTCATATACTACAGGTATTCAAACAAATTAAAGTAGTAAAATTAGCACTCATAAGTTAGCTATGGCTACATAATTTAACCATTATAATACAAACCTGTGTTTCTCCTTCAAAGAACTGTTGAAGTCGGTTCACAACTGCATCTGCAGTATCTTCAACTATCTGATGACCATCCACCGTTAAATATTGAATGTCTGGTTTGGTATTAGATGCACCTTTTTCTAGGATGGAATTTTTTTCTGCAGAAGCATACTGTTTAGGGGATGTGTTTCTTTCTGGTGACCTTGTTTTCCTGAATGGTGATTTTTTACCTGGTGAACACAATAATGAGCATGTTTTGGATTCATAAATTACTATAAAAGTAAAACTTAAAATATACGTGAGTAAAGTACATCATCTGGTGACCTACATTATGATATATATGATAAAACTTGCTATTATTATTTCTGCAACATCAATAGTACGTCAAGCTTCAATATTTACCTTCAGACATGGAGACCTCGGGTGACTTTCTTCTGGCGTGATGAACACTGTGCCTGCAGGAATGTCCCTCGTCAGCTGCTGCTGACAATTCTTTTGGTTCACTGCTTTTTTTATCTCTTGTTATCCTATCTTTTCCATGAGCCTTTGCAAGAAATACCGGAGAGAAAAAATCAGCGTTGAATGAAATGAAACGTCATTTTCTGGGCGAGACCCGGAGGCTCCCCGGAGCTATACCGGGCCGACGTGTATACATTAGACCATGGCAACAGTCAATCGGAGGAGTTCTAAGCCTATCGGGGACCAGAGCCAGAACCTGGCCCCCCTCAAGAGAGGCAAGAGGAGCAATGGCCTAAAGACACCTCCTGTGTAATTGGAAGCAATCTTTGTCTGCCATCTACTAGGTCAGGCACCCAGAAAGGTAGGAATTACAAAGCAAACTGCTGCTGGTCAAAAACTGCAAACCGAAAGCTGAACTAGCAAACAGAACTCCCCAATCAAAAACAAGGAAACGTGACGTGACCACAACCGCTGCGCATCCATCTGCAACCCCCCCCCCCCCCCCCCGCTTCCCAGGAGAGGGATGGGAGGGGGGGGGGGTCCCAGACCTCTATGCCAGCAACTCCCCTCAGTTCAGAGGCTGAGTATTAAAAAACCAGCATTGAATGTAATGAAACGATATTTTCTGGGTGAATCCCGGAGGCTCCCCGGAGCCATCCATGGCCGATATGGATACCCTAACTATTTTGCATCAGTTGATGTGGGTGGAGTTCTAGGCCTACCTGGGACCACGAGCCAGAACCTGGCCCCCTCACAGAGGCACGAGGAGCAATGGCCCATAGAAATGCACATGTGATTTGGAGCATTCTATATCTGCCATCGGCCGGGACAGGCACCCAAAAAGGTAAGCACAACAAAACAGAGCCCTATTCTGGTTAACAACGAAAAACATCAAACAAGTGGACAGAACTCCCCAAAGGAAAAATGAGCAAGCAAGTATGATGTCACATGAGCCACTCCGCATGTGTGCGCAGCTCCCTCCTCCCCAGGAATGGGATGGGGGAGCCCCAGAAATTGGCGCCGGCGAACCTTACCCCAGTTCTGAGGCTGGATATCAAAAACGTGAAAAACTGCCGACCGGAGGAAGGGAGGGTTGCCGGGGAGCCTCCAGGACTCACCCAGAAAATGGTGTTTCATTACATACACCGCTGGTTTTCTGGGGAGAACCCCTACAGCTCCCCGGAGCTACCTCACCAAAAACGAAAACAGAGGGATGCATCCGGGAGGCGGTCGGTGCTCACACCACAACGCGAAGTTGAGACAACAGGCTGCAACAGCCAACCCAAAGTGACATAGGCCTGGAACGCACATGAGCGAGCGTGCAACCAGGACCCAGTGCGACCGCCAAAACAACCTGTGGTTGACCCGGTGCGACCGCCAAAACAACCTGTGGCCAACCCAGTGCGACTGCCAAAACAACCTGTGGCTGACCCGGTGCGACCGCCAAAACAACCTGTGGCTGACCCGGTGCGACCGCCAAAACAACCTGTGGCCAACCCAGTGCGACTGCCAAAATAACCTGCGTTCGAAAGTCAGCCCAAGACATGCCACCCAAGACACCAGCAAGCACAGCAAACCTATGAACGTTAAGGGCACGGGGAGAGACCGCAGGCCGGCTAGACAGAATAACCCAGCAGACTACCGGAGAGACATGAGCTCGAGAACAGAGAGGGGAAACCGGAGCAACCCAAAGAGCAGCCCGGCCTCAGAGGCCAAGGTGCACAAAGAACGGCAGAGAGGTGCAACCGGACACAAGAAGAGGCACCCCGGCAAAATAACAAAGCAGCAACAACCACAGAGACCCCTCTGGAACCGAAGGGGCCACAACAACCCGAAGGGAATAGAGAAAAGAGCACCCTGCCCCACAGCAGGACAGCTCAGGTGGAGCATGAGCAGGCCGGAGGTGAACAATGCCCAAGAATACCCACGCACGGTGCAGAATGAACAACAAAACCAGAGCAATCCGAAGCGACTCCGCCAGTGCCGCACGAGACAGGGTGACGGTATGTGACCAGAAGACGGCCCTGAACCACCACAAGAGAAGGACAAGACCACGACAACAAAGAGCGCAGTACACCTATGATGAGATAAAAAGAAAATGAAGGACCTCCAGAAAAACCCCATACCGCTGCCAAGACGAAGCATGCAGGTGGGACATATTCAAAAAAGCCACCTGACCACCAACCAAATTGTGAGACTCGAGTCAAAAGTACCAAACCAGAAGACTCTAGGAGAAGGTCGAACCAGCCCTGTCATGGACCGGACCGACCACATAAAAGAGGCGTAGCCATGGGAAAACCCCCCGGGTGCGGACACCAAGCAAGCCGCAAAGAAACCAAGGCTGGCAAGAATCAAAAGGTACAACCGCCAGGGAACCAGGAACCCAAACCCGGTGAGCCAGGAAAGAACCAACCCAACCAAGTAGACACGACCGATCCAGGAGGCACCCTCCCCCGGGACCCTTGAAGGAACAATATGCCCGACAACAGACAAGAAGCCGCTGCTTGCAGAAACTGCCAACCGCAAACTCCGCAAACAACAAGGCCAAAAAGGGCAGCGAAAAGCCTAAGAGCCAAGGCCTCAGTAGAGGCCAACAAGGAACCGAGCACCATGAGCCGGAACCCGAGACGCAAAGCGAAAAACAGTGACACCGCAACCTCCAGGAGTGGCACCACCAGCCCCAACAGGGAAGAACGAAGCACATGTCGCTGAGGAAGGAAGGGGGAATAACGATAGACACATACTGCACTAAAACAAAGACATATTGTCCGAATAGGAACAAAGAAAGCCTGAGCCAGGGCCAGAAGCCAAGCGCCCCTGGTCCCAACGAAAAGGAACTGTAGGGACAGGAGTGGGTGATCGGAAAGCTATATATACACCAGCAGACATCGCAACACAGAAGATAATAGTGACAGACAAGGAGAAGAGGAAGAACTCAAAGCTACACCGGAACACCGGGCCCGATCCACAACAGGAAACAAAACATGACATCCCAACCCAGCACGAGCATGAGAATAGCCAATATGCACCCACCAAGATACACAACAAGCTGTAGGAGAGAGGTAGGAAGACGTAAAAAGCAACGAAAAGACCCAAAAGACAGTCTAAGCACCGGAAGCCAGGAATTTGCAAAGTGGTGCTCCATATACTTATTTTGTCAAGATGACCTGGACAAAATAAGTATATGGAGCACCACTTGGCAAATGGAATTTAATGTTAATAAATGCCATGTTATGGAATGTGGAATAAGAGAACACAGACCTCACACAACCTATATATTATGTGAGAAATCTTTAAAGAATTCTGATAAAGAAAGAGATCTAGGGGTGGTTCTAGAGAGAAAACTATCACCTGAGGACCACATAAAGAATATTGTGCGAGGAGCCTATGCCACGCTTTCTAACTTCAGAATTGCTTTTAAATACATGGATGGCGATATATTAAAGAAATTGTTCACGACTTTTGTTAGGCCAAAGCTAGAATATGCAGCGGTTGTGTGGTGCCCATATCTTAAGAAGCACATCAACAAACTGGAAAAGGTGCAAAGACATGCTACTAAGTGGCTCCCAGAACTGAAGGGCAAGAGCTACAAGGAGAGGTTAGAGGCATTAAATATGCCAAAACTAAAAGACAGAAGAAAAAGAGATGATATGATCACTACATACAAAATAGTAACAGGAATTGATAAAATTGATAGGGAAGATTTCCTGAGACCTGGAACTTTAAGAACAAGAGGTCATAGATTTAAACAAGCTAAACACAGATGCTGAAGAAATATACGAAAATTCAATTTCGCAAACAGAGTGGTAGACGGTTGGAACAAGTTAGGTGAGAAATTGGTGGAGGCCAAGACCGCAGTAGTTTCAAAGCGTTATATGACAAAGAGTGCTGGGAAGACGGGACACCACGAGCGTAGCTCTCATCCTGTAACTACACTTAGGTAATTACACAGCATAGCCGTGTCAGGGCCTGGGAGCATGGCTAGTAGAGCATGTCCAGAGATGTGTGTGCAGATCAGGAGCGGTGGAGAGGAGGAGAGGCAGAGGAGGAGCTACTCCTAGCCACCCCACACACATAAGCAGAGAGGTAACTAGATGTGTCCCCCACATAGAACCCAGAACGACCCCAAGAACCAGGGGGCGATGACTGGAGAGATAAGATGAGCGAGAGCAGTGTACAACCTGGAAGAAAGTGCACTGAACACCATCACACGCTCACACCGACCAGAACAAAACATTCACCCACGCTGCATGCGCAGGACACATGAGGTCCGGGCTGCACCACTCTACTCCTGGGGAGGGTGCCAACAAGGAATATGGAACCATTAATACGAATTGGCAAGACAAAGGATAGAAAGAAGCGACAATTAAAATCAGAAACAGCATCGAAAGAGAAGAAAAATGGATGAAAGAGTACCAACTAGTCCTAGACAGGACTGGAGGTAAGCCCCACCGAAAGGCGACAGATATTCCAAAAATGCACCCAATAGCATCCGTGACCAAAAGTCATGCAGGATCTAATAAGACATGGAACGAACCCGGGGAGGGGCCGATGCCCAAAGGCAACTTGTATGCAGAGGGAGGGGAAAAGAAAAACCCCACTCCTAGTAACAGTAAACCCCACTCAGAAGGTTGGAAAATCCAGTGGGGGGTCCAACGGGGCCCAAGGCCCCCAAGTCAGCTCCTCCCCAACCCCGAGAACCCCCACGTCAGGCCCCGGGGGCGAGTCGTCCTCCAAAGCCCCGGCCTCAAGAAAAAGCCGGGGGCAGCCTAAAAAGCAGGAAGAGAGCGGGCCCACTGGTCAGACCCTGGAGCTACGGCTGGAGGAACAGACTCGAACGCCTCCGATGCAACCCCCAAAACTGCCCAAGTTTCAAACCTCGAAACCCGGCCCCAACCCCGAAGCCCTCAGACTCCTAGGAGCCGGAAGCAGGGGGGCGGGGAACCAAACAAACCACAGCAGGGGAAGAACAGGGGGAAGTGGACTGAATCAAGGCCGACACGACCAGAAACCCAGGTCCGGTTCCTGAGAAGCAAAAATGGGGCAGCCTCAGGGCAACTGGGGAAGTAACCAAACTTGCGAGTT